AACACTAAGATGATGCTGCAAAAAAAAAAAAAAAAAAGTAAAATCTGATGTTTAGAGCGTTAAACAGGAAGATTTTTATTTAGTGCTGGAAAAGAGGCCCATCAAATGAGGCTTTGCCAAAAAGTTGTGTAGGCAGAGTGAAGGAGCCTGGAGAAAAGGAGGCTCAGGGGGGACCTTCTGGCTCTGCAACCCCCTGAGAGGAGGGGGGAGCTGGGGTGGGTCAGGCTCTGCTCCCAGGGAACAAGGGACAGGACAAGAGGAAACGGCCTCAAGTTGTGCCAGGGGAGGTTTAGGTTGGATATTGGGAAAATTCCTTCATGGAAATGGTGGTCAAGCCCTGGCACAGCTGCCCAGGGCAGTGGTGGATCCCCATCCCTGGGGGGATTTAAAAGCCATATGGATGTGGCACTGGGGGACGTGGATTAGTGGTGGCCTTGGCAGTGCTGGGGGGATGCTTGCACTCGATGATCTTAAAGGGCTTTTCCATCCTTTACTATTCCATGATTCTGTGTTGATGGCAAATTCTTTTAAATACTGGATGAGATAAGTCCAGGTACACATCACTTTCCAAGGGACTTGGATTTTTATGAGTCTTTTGGAGGATCATGTGTGGTGTCCTTTTGGATGTACCTGCTACAACAGGAGCTCGTCAGCTGCACAGTAAGATTCACAGACCACACTATTTTCAGTCATCATGATGAAAAACTATTATATATTATTCTTTTCTGTTTTAAACAGGTAAAGGACCTCTAAAAGACTACTACAATGGACTGATACAGAAACTGCACTTCAGACATATCCAGATCTGTACACCATGGCTGGAAGCTGAGGATTACCCTCTTTTGCTTGGTAAAGGGTGGGCGATTGAATAGGCTTAAGAATGTGTGAAAACCACCATGGCACAGGGGCAGAGAACTGATAGAGATTGTGCACAGAACCTGGTAGAATATAGTAATGAGCAAAAATGTTGAATTTCTCTGGCTATTTGCTTCTCCCCAAAAGTTGGCTTAGTACCTGTTGCTGTTTTAGCCTATTCCTTGCACTCTTTGTTTCTTCTGCCTGTGCTGAAACACAGCTGCCTGTGCACCTTCCAGCTTATTTTCAGGGTCACTCCTGTAAATGAAATAAAAGGCTTTTCACTAAGCAACTGAAAGTAGCTGAAATTTTTAATTAACTTGTCATTGGAATGTTATTCCCTCAGCATGTTCATTGTAACAGCATAAAGTGGGAGTAATAAAGTAGTAAAACACATGTTCAACTTGATCTCCATTCTGCAGGATCAGAGCCTGACAATTTATATGGCTGTAAAAACACTGTGCTTATTTGGTCCTTCTCAAATAATGAACATAATGTCTGTAAAACCCCGCTGTAATTTCTCTATTTTGAGAGGACTTGAACTGAGAGAGGTCACCAGTCAGCCAAGCAGTGTATCCTGTCTCGTTTGTGATGGAGTTTTCCTTCACTTATCCATTCTTAGCAGATTAAGAGGCAGAAAGGCTGTTTGAAGATACATGAAACTTTAAAATGCTCTTTAACTTAATATGCACTCACAGTGTTTCTAAAACCTAACTCCTTTTAGTCACAAAGTATATTGTGACAGAAGAGCTGCTCTCAGAGATTTCAGGCTGTTTTGTTTGCTCCTCAGGCTCAGCAGACCTGGGGGTATGTCTCCATAAATCCTCCAGTGGGTTGGATTTACCCATGAAGGTGGTGGACATGTTTGGCTGCTGTTTACCTGTGTGTGCAATACATTTTGAATGGTAAGACCTTGTTCTGTTACAGATCAAGTGATTCACATAAAATGTACTCCTAGAAAGTTCAGCAGCTACTGCAGGAGTCAAGTGAGATTCCTGTATTAGGCCGTTTTTGAAATCCAGTAAGTTAGAAATCAAGGTTAGTTTAAATTTTTAAAAAGGACACTGGTTTCAACAAAGTTCAGTGTTTCATGCAACCACTTACCTAAAAAAAAAAAATCCCTGTTATCCTTTGTTTCCATATATATTTAATTTTAAAAAAGCCTCCTTCCCTTCAGTGAAGGGGTGAGTGTATGCATAGGCAGTCTTGGAATTCATGGCCCTTTGGGGAAACAGTAGCTTTATAAAGGGAGATAAATTCTCTGTGAGGGTTTCATGATGGATCATGGAAAAATTCTCCTTGTGGGTTAGTTTTAAAGTAGATTATTGCCCCGATTTTTCATGCATGTCCAGCTGAGTGGCACAGAGTGAGGGCTCTTTGGTACAGTTGTGGTAGATAAATTCTGACAGAGAAAGGAGAAACAGTCTTGAAATGAGAAGATTTTCAGCTGCCTTCCCCATCCCGTTGTCAGGTGTGGGCTCCTATCAGTGATAAAGTTACAGCTATCCAGGCGTGGCCCCTTTGGGTGTTACTGAAATGTCCCACTTGCTGCTTTTTGTCTCATTTTTCCCCCTCTTGCCTTCTTCTCTCACAGTTTACATGAGCTTGTGAAACACAACGAAAATGGTCTGATATTCAGGGACTCGGGTGAACTCGCCCAGCAGCTGAAGGTAAAGGCTTTGACTCCTTTCTGCCCCCACAGGTTTAACCCCAAAGGTGCCCCCACGTGAGCAGCCCTTTCACAGCTCAGCATCTGTGCATTTTGCTTTCTCAGAAGGCGCTGCTTGGCCTGGTGAACGTTATTTGCCCCACTTATGTTTAAATGTGAATGTGAAGCTGGCAAAGGCATTGAAAACATTGTCGTCGCCCTGTTTCTGGGGCCAGACCCAAGAACGGTCTCGCTGCAGCTTTGTAGTTGAGGGTTATTGCTGGGAGGCTGCAATGAGCCTGAAAAGGAACATGATGGGATTTTTGTGGGTTTGCTTTCTGTATTGCAGATGCTTTTCTGGGAATTTCCTACCTTGGAAGGCAAACTGCACAGCTTCAGGCAGAACCTCAGGGCGTCCAAGGAGCCGCGCTGGGACGAGAGCTGGGACCAGACCGTGCTGCCCTTGCTGGGGCACAAGGAGTGACTGTGGGGAAGGAGGGTGGCAAAGCTGACACATTCCTGGACTGCAGACACTTGATAACAGTGAATAAACACTTTGTGTTGTCTACTGTTGCAGTTTTTAACTACTTCATCTTGGAAGATGTGTTTGCACACTCCTCTTCCTTTCCAATTGGAGCATCCTGTGTAAGAGTAGAGCTGAAGGTGCAGCTGGAGCTCTTTGCTGCCTGACCACCTGTGCTGCTCAAAGGTCATTTTTTGGTGAAGATACTTGAATACAGATAGAAACTGTTACCACTTTTACCTACTGTACACTCAGCACCTTAGTAGGTGATTTGGGTATGGTTTTTTTTTGGCAAGTGGGAAATGCCTTTTTTTTGAATTGTTTTATATGTACTGGTCACTGGTCAAAGGTTGGACTTGATGATCTTGGTCTTTTCCAACCAAAATTATTCTGAAATTTAACTGAGGATACGGTGGGGGTTTTGTTTATTCAACCAGTTAATGTTGCCTAGAGACACACTGAGTATCCTCTTGTATGATTTTATTGAGACAGGACCATTTTGTCTCAAGGTTGTTTTCCTTTTTACAGTTGTGTGCAGGAATGTGGAAGTGCAGCTGCTGGGGTGTGACAGCTTTACTGGTACTTGGAGGAAAACAGACCTTGCAGTGAGTGTTCCCCTTGCAGTCTGAAGTGAAATGTGCCCATTTACCTTGAGAAAGAGCATAAAATTGATCTCTCTTTGAACAGGTGAATAGAACAGGGAAAAATAAACCCAAAATATACGTGTAACGTAATCCCTTTGTGAGTGCTCACTCAGGTGCACCCTTCAGCTTTTTATTGTTAAGATCAGTATATGCAGACCTAATGCTTCCACGTTATGGTTATAAAATAGATGTTAGTCATTTAAGGAATTGAAGTGCTTGGTTTTATCATGTGGTTATGCTCCTCAAAGCTCAGGGGTGGGAGGTGGTGACAGTGGGTTCTGCATCAGCATTTTTAAACCCTCTGACTGAGTAATCATTGAAAATCTGCTTTTTCCAGAAGGAAGAAGGTGAAAATAGAAGAGTCAGGTTGCTTTACTGCAGGAGTTTGGCAAAAACTCCAGCTTTTTGACTTGAGAATGGTTCATAAAGATTTATTTGCCAATATTTTAGTGTATCTTTCCTACTGTTTTCAGTCAAAGTCCTGTCTGGGGGTTTCATCATTCCCCTTTAGCCATTCCTGTGCACATGGAGATAAATTGGGCACTTCTCTAATTAAACAGTAAAGCCAAAAGCTTCAGAGAGGTTTCATCTTCCAGTAATAAAAATTTCAGATGTAAAATGAGCCATCTGTACAGAACCCTTGAGTGACTTGAATTTTGTGTAAGGGAGCTCCTGTCTGGGCTGAAATAACACCTTTGAGTTCTTCCTCTTCGGGGACAGGGAGCAAAAACCTGGGCTGGGGTAACTTCTGCTTAATCCCAGCAGTTGTGGCCTCTCTCAGCTTGAAGAACAAGATGATCCTTCAGGTTTCAAGTTACCTGCCACCCATTTTCTCTCCACTGCTACGGGAGGAGGGGGCTGAAGTCTTTGTTCATTTTCCTGTAAGTAACTTCTAAAACAATATAAAAAGGAAGTCTAAAGAGGAGAATGAGCAGCCTTTGATCTTCTGCTTCAGGACCAAGAGGAGAATGATGAATGGGCAGTTTCTGAGCAGGTGAGCTCAGTCCTTTCTCCTTTAGGATCCCTGCAGCGTTGCTGTGGTACTATGTGATTCCTTTTTTATTTCCTGGCCAGCCTGACAGAAAGGTCCTAGCAGCCAGAGGTGAAAGTGGCAGCTCTTAACTGAGAGGAATGTACCTCAGTTGTGATTTTTGTCATCACTGCAGGGTAAAGATGCCCCTGATTTCCACCTGCTCCTACAGCCTGGGACATCCCACAGCTCTGTGGGTATTGGTCACTGCTCGTTCAGTGGTTCATTTTTAAGACTGACCAGACTGCCAGTATATACAACCAAGTATAAAAAACCCCCAGAGTGGACAATTACAGCAGGTTTTAATATTTAAAAATATTTATTACTCTGAACCATCATTTTGCTCCCTTGTCTGTGGGAGATCCTCATCCTGCCATCCTGCAGGTTTGCCTCCAGCACTAACAAGTCAAAACACAGTTAAAGAAAGACTCTTGAATTCTGTTGTCTTCTACAGAATTAAAGTGCAGTGTGATTGGAACTTAATTTTTTTTTTCTATTGTTTGAGGTTCACTCCTTTTTCAAGGGCAGCAGCTTGACATGCTGGAAACTACAGGAAGAAACAACTCCCATTGACAACAGCCCCTGTGTACAGTCCAGCACCTCTGGTGGGAGCTTCCAGAATTCAGGATAATCTTATTGCAGGGATGACACAGCTCCTGTTGGTCTCAAAACTCTAATTCTGTTTGCCAAGCCTATATAAATAGCTGGAGAATAGTTACATTTGGCTGCACATCATCGAGAAAATTACTGTTGCTGTGGGCTGGAATAATCTGCCACCTGATCCCGACTTTATCTGTGAAGAGAAACACAGGGAATCATATTTAGGCTTCCTAAAACGAAGAGCACAAGTTGCACGACAAGTTCTGTAAGAAGAGATCTTTACCACGCTGTGAAAGAAAAGCTACAGGCAAATGCTTTGAGTGTTTTTTAAAAGATACCAGTAATGCCTCTCTCAGCATCACTTTGTGAATTAATCAGTTGCTGCGCAGCTGACACACTGCAAAATACAGGCTTTAGAGGAGTATATGAAGAAAAAAAAAATTCCTATTTTATTTAAGCCCTAGTTGGCTTTTAACCCTCAAACAGGAAAGATAAGATGAAGGGTTTAGGCTGCATCTCTGTTATTTATCACTGTGACAGAGCAGCGCAGATGGTTTCCCTCCTTTAAGCTTAACCCTTTTTAGTTTCCTCCCTTTTTTGAGTCCACCACACTTGGATTCATCCCTTCCAGACGTGAGCTGTGATAGCCAGGATGTACCTAAAGGTAAGTTCCAATCTCCTGATCAAATCCATGAGGAAAAGCCCCCACTCTTAAACCCAGCTGTGGGATAACAATCTGACAACTGGACAGTGCCCCTCACCAACAAAGGCTGCTGTTCATCCCTACCCCAGGAAAATGATGGGGAAAGAGGCAGAACTATTGAACAGTTGATGAAAGAGGCCCCTACCCAGCTCAGCCTGGAACAGGTGAGACGTGTCTGGGTTACGGATTGCGAAGGCAATGAAGACCTCGGGAGCTTTTCTGTCTGCTCTGGAGGAGGAGAGTTTCTGCAGCATCCCAATGAGGGCTAAAATGATCTCTGGATCATACACCACATCTGCAAAAAAAAAGAAAAGGGGGGTTGGAAATACAATATTTATTGAGGATTGAGCAAAAAGCAGAATGAGAACTGCAAAACAAAAATATAAAATATTCACAGTGCAGGAGAATATTTTTCTTTTATTCAGGGGTTAAAAATTCCCAAGGAGAGAGCTTCAGAAATGCCTCTGTTTTATGTGCTATGCCCTCATCTCTACTACCACTCCAAAATCACTAAAAATCTGTGCTCCTTTTTTGGAAATGGATTGTCAGGTATTTTATTTAGGTCCATCCAGCAGGAACACTGAGTGTTGGTGCTGTTACCAGTGCCCTTGGCAAAACAAACCCGCCTTGTGAAAAACGGGGGTTTGAGAGACTGATGGCAAAGGACTTGCAGCAGTTTGAGTCCCGAGTCATTTCCAGGAGAGCAGAAACAGTGATGGGAGGTGAGAGTGAGCACCAAGGGGTACAAAATACTGACACTCAGAGGTGCTTGGTTTCTGCATGGAAGTGTTGAGGTGTCAGATGTAAATGTCCTTTAGTTCTTGTCTTCAGAGTCCAGCTTGGGCTGGTTTGGCCACTGAACAGTGTTGTTGGCATTGGGTACCATACAGTGGCTTCATCTTACAGAACTCACATCTTGTGATACCTTGGATGACAAAGTCATTTTCTCACCTGGATTCTCAGGTAATTTTTGCTTTGCAAAGCTCCAAATCAGGGAGTAAAACCCTGTAGCTGCAGCTGAGACACTTCACTATCGCTAGATCTTCCACCATTAGATTTCCTATACTCTCCCCCCAGATTTATATATGGGCAAGTCCAAAAAAGGGCTGCAGTTGTTTGGGGTTTTTTTTTAATGATATCATCCCTCAGGAGCCTGCCAGGACTCCTGAGTTCTGCCCCCCTGTCTCTCCAACCTGCTGTGTCCTGCAGGGTCCCACTGGCGAGGTGACATTACCTGCTGCGATGACAACGTCAGCTTGGACACCCCCCAGCTGTTCTTCTGTCACTGAGCCCCAGTCAAGTTCTGCAACAATCACTTTTGGGGTTTGGCAGTTCTTTGCTTCCACCTCCTGCCCTTGGAGCTCTGTCTGGATACACCAGGTGGCTTCGAAGCCGTTGAGATTGATGTTCTCTCCCAGCTGGCTGAGAACACGAGGGTGGCAGTCACTAAATATGTATGTCTTGGGTTGGCAGGTCTTGCAGATGGCAATTCCAGTGAAGCCAATCCCACTTCCTAATTCCAAGACTGTCCTGAAGGATAACAGAGTAAAGGGAGTACTATTAGGGCTCTATATTAAGTTGGAAATCAAAAATACTGCAAGTAAAATTAAAGGTAAAATGAGCTTCAGATAATTTAAATAATTTTTGAGTCAACCATTGACAACCTAACCTTTATCCCAAGCAACTGGAGAGCTGGGAAATGCTGAGGGTGAGCATAAATTAATTACCTGAAATGCTGCTTTTGCATATGGTACACAAAGCATTCCCAGCGTGGGGATGAGAGGCATTCCCACCTGGTTGTAGCCATCTGCATCTGCCTCCCCCTGAACTGGTTCTTTTCATAGTCAGGGCAGAGAAGCAGACCCTGAGCAGCACAGTTCCTTTGGGAGTCACTATTTTAAATTATCTTTTCCTCAAAAGTGCTTGTTCCTCTCAGCTGTTGATTTATAAAGTCCAGATGATGCGATCAGACCTGCCCATGGCTTCTCTAACACTGGTGAGATGGATCCCAGCAAGGAGTGAAGTGAATTTTAGTTAAATTACTGAGAACTGAACAGCTGAAATTCAAGGCAAGTCAGTCTGCACAGTGCCAGGGTTTTGATCTTAACCCCTGTGCTGACAGAACTACAAGGTCCTGTCCTGAGTCACAGCTTGACTTGCAGAACAGACAAGAGCAGCAGTTCCGCAGCACCAAAAGGGTGTGATTTCACTTATTCTGGGTGTATATACTGCCTATTATGAAATGTTACTGTTATAAATATTGTCTGTTGGTAAACTACAGTTTCGTAGCTCACAGTAACAGAGGGCTGGGGTTGCCCCTGGGTCCTTGGAAGTGTCCAAGGCCAGGATGGACGGGGCTTGGAGCACCCTGGGCTGGTGGAAGGTGTCCCTGCCCATGGCAGAAGAACTGAATGAGATGATCTTTAAGCTCCTTCCCACCCAAACCATGCCGTGATTCTGTTCCCCCTTTCCACCCCCGCTGTGCCCTTACCTGGCCCGGAACACCTCGGGGTTCCCCCCTGCCCACCCCGCCAGGTGCAGAGCAGCGTCCCACGTGACAAGCCCCGTGGTCCCCCCAGAGATCAGGGCTGTGCTCTCAGAAAGGGTCACCCAGTCTCCTGTGGGCTGGAGGACACACGAGAAGGCAAAGATGGGTCAGCACAGACAACAGGGTTACACTTCACAGTCAATATTGGCACCTGGGAAAAGGCAGAAAGCACTCCAGGCTCCTGGGGGTTATTTTTAAAGCCAATTATTGCTCAGTTCAAATTATCAAATGTGATTTAGAACAGTGCAGCATCGATGCTTACCAGTAAGTAGTTTTTGTAACACTGAGTAGATTCTTCTTCTTTTAAAACATCTGCCAGTGTGTCATACAGTTCATCCAGGGGTTCAGCTGCTGTGGATTCGTGCTGTGGGAAGAACAGGGCAGCTCTGGGGGTCACATTGTCATGAAAACAGAAAACATTTGCATTTTAAGTCCCATTTAATACACTGTTGGCCCCAATATTTACACTGAGTGTTGTGGTTTGTTGTTACAGGGGATATTTTCGAGGGAAAAAAAGAAGAGTGAAAAGCAAGCAGTACCTTTTTGATGAGCTCAGTCAGAAAGCACCTCCTGTACTTGGTTGAGGGGGGATATTTCACACACAGAGGGTGGAGAATGGTCTGAAACAGGAACAGCCGTGGAAACCAGTTACCAGGGAGGGTACTGAGGGCCAGAGAAAGACCATTAATTGGGCTCTGGGTGCCATGAAATGCATCGGGATTTAGTCTGTACAAGTGATGCTGAGCCAGAAATTGAAATGTGAAGATTTTTTTACAGGTCTGTGGCAGCAGATTTCGCAGCTTTTGTGGCAGCAAAAATCTCCCTTTTCAAAGAGCAAAGAGCAAAACCGAGTGGGAATAGTCCGGTTTGCTCTCCTCCTTCTTTTGCTTTTTCTCTTCCCTCGTTCCTTTTCGGCTTGCTGCCTGATTTGCTTTTTTTCCCCATCCCCAGGGACAGTTCAGGCACCAGCATTCCCTGTATCCCGCAGGATCCAGGACCAGCTGGGCAGACCCGCCCGCGCCATTCACCACATCAGTGCTCGGGCACGCGGGTCTCCATTTCGATCCACGAACAGCCAAATGAGAGGCAGAGAAGGAAAGCTGCAGTTCTGCAGGGCCCACTGCAGACCGCTGCATTTACGAGGGACTCGAGTGGCTCTGGGCACACGCGGGGGCAGCCGGGGGTGTCCCCACCTGGTGCAGGATGTCCTGGAGCAGGGACGAGTCCGGCGCAGCCCGCAGGTTTTGTTCCAGCTCCTAAAGCGGGATAAATAAATAAACAACCCAACAAAGCAGCGGTGCCGCGTCCCCCCCGCCCGGTCCTGCCCCCGGTACCGGCCAGGGCAGCGAGAGGAGCGGCCGCGCCGCCAGGAACCGCCGCTGGAAGCGGAGCAGCAGCCCCGGCTCGGGCTCGGCCATGGCCCCGGCGGTGCAGAGCCGGGAAAGGCCGCGCATCCCCGGACTCGAGTGGAGGGAGCGCCCGGGGGTGGAGCCGCCGGAGGGAGGAGCGGAACGGCCCGAGCGGGGCCTCGAACCCGCGACCCTACGGGCATCGGGAGGGCAATGGGATCAGTGGGATTGATCACCGGGATTAATCAGTGGGATCGGGGGGGCAATGGGATCAGCGGGATTGATCACCGGGATTAATCAGTGGGATCAATGGGATGGATCACTGGATTAATCAGTGGGATCGGGGGATGGGTTAGATTGGAAAGACCTTAAAGACCATCTCGTTCCACCCCCTGCCACGGGCAGGGACACCTTCCACCAGCCCAGGTTGCTCCAAGCCCCGTCCAACCTGGCCTTGGACACTTCCAGGGATCCAGGGGCAGCCACAGCTTCTCTGGGCAACCTGTGCCAGGGCCTCCCTGCCCTCACAGGGAAGAATTTCTCCCTAATATCCAACCTAAGCCTACTCTCTTTCATTTTGGTCCCATTCCCCCTAGTCCTGTCACTACGTGCTCTTGTGCACAGCCCTGCCCCATCGTTCCTGTACCTTCCCTTCAGCGGGGAGACGGCCCGTAGGTCACCCCAAACCTTCTCTTTTTCAGGCTGCCCCATCGCAGCTCTCCCATCCCTTGCCCACAGGAGCTCCCCCGTCCATCTCTCGCCGATCCGCCCGGTGCCTCCCCCGGGCTCGTCATCGCGCTGCGCCCGCCCCGTCACTGCGAGCGCCGCGCCCAAGGACGGGGCGCCCGCGGCCGGGCAGGAGCGAGCGGGGCCGGGGCTGCACCGAGCCCAGCCGAGCGGGGCAGGGACCGAGCGGGGCCGGGGCTGTAACCGAGCCGAGCCGAGCGGGGCAGGGACCGAGCCCAGCCGAGCCGGGCCATGAGCGGCCCCGCGGACGATGAGAAGCTGCGGCTGCAGCAGCTCCGCGCCCTGCGGCGCCGGTGGCTGCGGGACCAGGAGCTGAGCGAGCGGGAGCCCGTCCTGCCCCCGCGCAAGCTCGGCCCTGTGGCCGCCTTCTGGGAGGGTTTCCTGCGGCCCGGGGGGCTGTGGCGGCAGCAGGTGAGGGGGACGGGGGGCTCGCCCGGGGCCCGCCCGGGGCCCGCCGGCCCCCCCTGACCCGCCCCTGTCCCCGCAGGTGTACAAGGCCTACCAGACCAGCGGCTTCATCCTGGTGCGGGTGCTGATCCCCGCCTGGATCGTCACCTACTACGTGAAGTACCACCTCATGGTGCGCGGGGCAGCCCCGGTGAAACCCTGCGGGGGGGTTGGTGTGAGGGCTGGTTGTGTTGGGCTGCAGGATAAGGTGACCTCCCGTGGCCTGTCCACCTCTTGCTTTTCCTTTCTTAGGTGTCAGAAATATATATATATATTTTTGGTGATATTTTATCATAAAAAAATCGCTCTGGTGAGGCCTCCACCTGCAGTGCTGCCTGCAGGGTTGGGGTTCCCGGTACACAAAGGACGTGGAGCTGTTGGAGCGAGTCCAGAGGAGCCCACGGAGATGCTCCAAGGCTGGAGCCCCTCTGCTCTGGAGCCAGGCTGGGAGAGCTGGGGGGGTTCACCTGGAGAAGAGAAGGCTCCAGGGAGACCTGAGAGCCCCTTGCAGGGCCTAAAGGGGCTCCAGGAGAGCTGGAGAGGGACTGGGGACAAGGGATGGAGGGACAGGACACAGGGAGTGGCTTCCCACTGCCAGAGGGCAGGGTTAGATGGGATATTGGGAAGGAATTGTTGGCTGTGAGGGTGGGCAGGCCCTGGCACAGGTTGCCCAGAGAAGCTGTGGCTGCCCCTGGATCCCTGGAAGTGTCCAAGGCCAGGTTGGATGGGGCTTGGAGCAACCTGGGCTGGTGGAAGATGTCCCTACCCATGGCAGAAGAATGGAATGAGATGATCTTTAAAGTCCTTTCCACCCCAAATCATTCCATGATTCTGTGATTTATGGCAGTACCCAGCTTTTCCTGTGCTGCCTCCTGTGAGCTGGAAAGCTGTGTCTGAGTTGTTGCTTTCCTGGAGGAATGGTGACCATGGGAATAACCAGGACAGCTGCTGGGGTGGGGAATGGGAAGGGCCAAGGCACGGATGGGGGAACAGACCTTCCACTTCCACAGCCTTCCCTGGCTAATACAGGTGTTCCTGTATTAGCCTCACATATTTCTTTCACTGGTGAAAAGGGCCTGGCCTGAGGAGCCTTGTGCTCAGCAGAGCTTGTGTTCTGGAAGGCTCTTGTCCCCCATTTTGGAAAGCCTTTGTGCTCCCTCCAAGTAACACTCTTTTCTTTCCCTTTTCCCTCTCTCCCCCCCTCCCCCCAATTCCAGAAAACGCCCCACGGAGTGATCATGGCAAATCCACGGATATTCCCAGTAAGTCAGTTAACACTTGTTTTGTCTTCCAGCTTTGTCAGACAGATGGGAAGGGGTTCCATGGGGAGAAGTGCAAGTCTGTGCAGCAGCTGAGGAATCCCTGGTAGAGACTCCGGAGGGATGTGGTGGGTTCTGGGGGCAGCCTGTCCTGGAGCAGCACAGGAACAGTGTTTTTGGGCAGTTCTCATCCTGTCCTCGGAGCAGACAGTCCTTGTTTCAGTGGGACCTCCTCTGTAGCTGCAGAATTTGGGGTACTTGGCTGACAGTACCTGGCTGACGTGGCCCATGGGGTGGAAAACACAAACATTCCCTTTGGGAATGGGTGTTTAAAGCCTCTGTGGTTATTAACACATGGACTGACAGCACTGTCAGCACTGGGATTGTTGGTTCTGGCTTGGTCCCAGGTGTCCCTGCAGGTCGCCCATGCTCAGGGTCCCCACAGATTTGGTCACCTCAGTTTGGGGTGAGTTTTGTGAGGCAGAGAGGGTCACGTTGCTTGGTCTGTTTTCAGGCTGCTCTGAGCTGTTACTCACTGATTGGTGTAACAAGTCAGAGAGCAAACACTCTCCCAGAAAATCCACCCTGCCCTTTCTGACAGCTGCACACTTTCGGCAGTTCTAACAGGTTCCATCCCTCACAACCACGCAGCAACATTCTGAAGGTCAGGCTGTTGTCCTCTGTCTTCAGCCTAGTTTTTCAGTCAGCTTAGATCAGCTCAGTGGGCCAGGACAGTGCCTGGAGCTGGGACAGGCAGCACTGGGGCAGCAGGTTGGTTTGTGAGGGATTACATGTCTCTCCATGGTCTCCAGGCCCTGGGTTTGGACTCCCTGAACCCTGTGCTGTGCTGAGGGGGGTTATGCAGTGCTATAAGTCCAGTGTACATTTTTAAAACAAGACAAGTCTCGAACTGTTTGGCTGCTGTTCCGTGGTGAAGCAGGTGCAGGTTCAGGTGGTTTGGCTGGGATGTTATTCCTGTATCCTGGGAATGTTGGGTGAGTGTGTTCTGAGTGAGTTGCAGTAAGATTTTTGGCTGGGAGTGGGGAATTTGCAGGTTCCCTGAAGGACTGGGCTGTGCAGGGAGGGGCTGGGTGCAGGAGGGAATGCTCACCACTCTCTCATCCCTCAGGGGGACAAGATTTTAGAGACTGGAGAAGTCATGCCACCCCTGAAAGAAGATCCCCACGAGCACCACTGATGACTGGGAGCTGATTTCCTCCTTCAGCAAACACAGCAGGAGCTGCACCTGCTTTCTCTGTTCTATAAAAGTCTTTATTCTGCATCGCCTCAGCTTCTCTCATTTACTGTCTCCTCAGCCCACATCAGGTGCTCCTCTGTGTGAGTTCCTTTGGCCTTTGGTGAGTGTCATTGCTGGGTCCTGGTGATCCCCAGCCCCCTTCCCCACCTTTAATCTGACCTGACAGACCTGCCAGCAGGACAGTGTGACCTCAGAGGGACAGGAGAGATGCTGTGGGTCCCGGGATTTTGGAGCAGGCTGCCCTGAGGAGGGGTGTCACTGTGAGCTCCTCTCACACACACAGTTCTGCTCTCCTGCCCTACCAGACTCTTTTCTACCAACCAATTCTGACAGGTTTCCAGTGAAAATTAAGTTTTCATCTATGTCATCCCATTTCTCTGCCTGGGGAGGGTGGCAGAAGAGACACTGCCAAAATTCCTTTTTACCCCTCATTTCTCTGCCTTCAGCCCCTTTGGAGGGGGAGTCTTCCAGCCCCCAGTGGCCCCATGTACCTGGGGCACTTCTTACTGGGAAGAGTGTCCTGTTGGGACAGGGAGCTGGGGTTAGTGATCCCTATGGATCCCTTCCAGCCTAAGATATTCTGTGATTCAAAGTGTTTTAGCAGCTGCTTTGGGGATAGAAAGGGTTAAACCAGCCCCGAGGTGCGTACCGGGAGGGTCTGGGACAGAAACCCCTCCTGAGCCACGTGAGACCCGTACAGCCCGTGTTTGTGAGGTGGGGGGACAGGCCAGAGCCCCCCTGCTGTGTTTGGGGACAGCCAGACCCCTCAGAACTGCTCTGGGAGGGATTTGACCAACGTGGCAAACACAGGGAAAACTGTCCTGCAGTCAGAGCAGATCAGGGAGGCACAGACCCCACGTCAGGCTCCTGGCCCAGCCCCCAGGCCCTGGCCAAACCCACAGCCATCCCTTTCCTTGGGTGCAGTCATGGGCTGGGAGGAACCAGCAGCATCCTGTGGGTCATCACTGGGAGGCCCTGGAGGGGCTACTGGGGCAGGCTGGGAGTCACTGGGAGAGCTGGAGAGTCAGCAGGGCTTGGGGGGTCACTGGGAAGGTAAAGAGTGAAGGGACTGGGGTTGATGGGGGCCCTTTAGGGTTATCAGTAGCAATAGGGGGCTGCCTCAGAACTCCAAGGTCACCCTGCACACTTGTGCTTATGAGGAACTGGGGGCTGTGACACCTCCAGAGGACACACCACACCCATGGGGATGCCCCATCCCCCCAGGGCTCCCAGATTCCCCCAAAGAAACCCTGATCCCCCCAGGGCTCCCAGATTCCCCCAAGGAAACCCTGATCCCCCCAGGGCTTCAGATTCCTCCCAGGGAGCCCTGACAACTCTCCTGCTCTAGTGAGAATTCCCCCAGAGCTCCAGGGAATTCCTAGTACCCCCAGAGGCCCATGGACATCCCCACAGCTCCAGCACCCCAGAGCCACCCTGATCCCCCAACTTCCCTGCAGTGTGGGGCCCAAGGGACCGTTCTAGGCCACAGACTCAGTCCCAAGGATCACTTTGGTGTTTTGGATCAGATAATCCTCCCTGAGGAGAGGGGTTTGATGCCTCTCCCTTCAACAGGGAGGGGTTTGAGTGTCACAACCCCTCCATAAAGGAAATAGAGGACATGGAACATGTCCTGACACCGTTACAGAATCATTCATGTCCATCACCTGGCTGTCCCACTGAAGGTGTGTCAGTCAGTGAGCAGGACCACCCGCCTGCTGTGAGACCCCACACTGCTGACAGCTGCTGGACACCTGCAATGCAAAACTATTGCTCTCAATTTCTGTGAGTCTTACTTCCCTTGTGCTAAATGTGGGTGATGCACCATCTTGACAATGAGTGCAAAACTCCTCTGGGTTTGTACAATACTGTTCTCTCAGATGTCCTCAGTGTTGCACACAGGTACATGCAGTACATCTTCTGCTTAACTTCCTTTTGAGGTCCCTTCTGGCTAAAAAAACATCACTGCTCAGTGCTGGATACACATATAGATAATCCCAGAGTCACAGACTGGTTTGGGTTGGAAGGGACCTTAAAGCCCATCTCATTCCACCCCCTGCCAGGGGCAGGGACACCTTCCACTAGCCCAGGTTGCTCCAAGCCCCGTCCAACCTGGCCTTGGACACTTCCAGGGATCCAGGGGCAGCCACAGCTTCTCTGGGCAACCTGTGCCAGGGCCTGACCACTCTTAGGTAGTACATATATACTATATATTTAGACAAGAGTTACCTTTCTTTGCACCTGCCTTGCTGCAGAAAGCCTTCCATTGCAACAGCTCAAGGACCCCTGGGAGGGAAATTTCCTCCCAAATAGGTGACAGATCATATGACTGTCTGTCCTGCCCTTTGAGAGCCATCAGGACCTTCTTTGTTCCTCAGGCTAAAAACAGGAGGGTTGAGGGCAGGCACCAGAAAGGAGCCACTTGCCCAAGCCAGGGTGGAGGTGGAACAGAGATGAGAATGAAGGGAAGCATTCATTCAAGCTTGGTGTCTTGAGAAATGAGGACTGGAAGACCTTTGGGATGTGGAACACACCAACCTTTCCTCCCTCTCACCTGAGGTGCCTCAGGAGGAGCTGTTGGCTCCAGCACTGGCTGCCAGAACACAATGGGAAGTGTCCTTGTGCCGACCCTGGGTGTGTGTCCCTGTGCTTGGCCAGTGGGACCTGCTCCAGGTCACCTCCCAGCCTCTCCCACCCCGCAGGGTGTCCCCATGACACAGAGCTCACAGTCAGTGCCAGGCAAGCTCACTTACTGGAGAGACACAGAGCTGAGTCTGCACTGCCATACACTGCAATCCATGAGGATTCACATCCATAATCCATGAGGATCCACATGACCTTACTTGCTGGGTCTTGGCTGTGCAAGTCTGAGGCACTGGGGAAATGGCTGATGCTCTTCTCTACGGTGGAAAGTCGTGGTGGATGGAGAATCTTCACAGCTGGAGGAACGCAACGTTTGTATCATCAAAAAAGGCTGGGGATGGCCCAGGCAGCCACAGGCCAGATAGCTCCAGGAAAAAACGTGGAATGAGTCCTTTTAGGAGGCATGGCAGGGGGAGGAGGAGCAGGGAAACACTCAGTGTGGAGTTACAGTGCCTGAAAACGATTGTTTTCTGTGATGAGGTTTGCTCAGGGCAGAGGAGAGGTGACGTTCCCCTCACCTTCAGCCACACTCTGCATTCTCCTACAGCACTCAGTCATTCCCAGGAATGACTTTTGACTGGCTGGGAGAGCTAGGGGAGTTCAGCCTGGAGAAGAGAAGGCTCCAGGGAGACCTTAGAACCCCTTCCAGGCCTAAAGGAGCAAGAGAGATGGAGAGGGACTGGGGACAAGGGATGGAGGGACAGGACAAGGGGAAATGGCTTTCCACTGCCTGAGGGCAGGGTTAGATGGGATATTGGGAAGGAATTCTTGGCTGTAAGGGTGGGGAAACCCTGGCACAGGTTGCCCAGAGAAGCTGTGGCTGCCCCTGGATCCCTGGAAGTGTCCAAGGCCAGGCTGGACGGGGCTTGGAGCAACCTGGGCTGGTGGAAGGTGTCCCTGCCCATGGCATGACAGACCTTCCAACTCAAACCATTCCATGACTGTGATTCCTAACAGAACACACTGACATCATCCACTACATCAAATCACTCCCTAACTGGGCAAAGTTAACTTTTTGCATTTATTCTCCAGATATGGAGGGCCACGCTGGGGATTTAATTCCAGCCAGGAGCTCCCCCATCCTGCCAGCAGAGCTGGGTGTCAGCAGCTGTTTGTGTCATGCCCTGTAGATGTGATGTCAAAGCCCACACAAACTGCAGTGACTCCCCTCCTCCTCCTCCTTTCCCTCAGGGCTGTGCAGTCCCACTGCTCACACTCATCAATAATCCTGTGCATGACAGAAGGGGCTGAACTCGACTGCCCACACACGGGTGTGCAGAGGCATTTTGGGTGCTCTGAGGATCCAGCTGCTACTCAGGCTGAAGAGCTCAGGGATGAAGATACCCAGCAGGTCTTGTGTGGCTGAGCTGTGTGGCCACCCTGGGGTACCTCAGTGGCACCAGAGTGCAGGGACACTGTGGTGTCCAGAGGTGTCACCGAGTTCCCACACTAACGCTCCACGGTTTGGCTGCTGACAGGTTCTACTCAAACACCCACCGAGGTGGAGCCAGCAGATCCTGTTAAGCCCAACTTCCCCCTTTTCCCAGGGGATCCCAACAGATTTTACACCATGATGGGCAGAGGAGTCCCACCAGCCATGCTGGGATGGTTGGGGTGTCCTGTGCAGGAGTTGGACTTCGGGTCCTTCTGAGTCCCTTCCAGCTCGGGATACTCCATGATTTTGGGGTGCTGATCTGCCCATGCAGGGCTGGGATACCTGTCCTGTGCTTCCCTCAGGCACAGGCTGGGCTCTGGGGGAGCACCAAGCCCCCAGCTGCCCCAGTGCAGGAATTCCCCTGTGAGCAAGGGTAGTGTGGGGCTGGGTTGGGATGTTCGTGGGGAAATGTAGCTCTGGGTTGGGATGTCCACGGGGGGTGGATGTAGCTCAGCGATGTGCATCGAAGTAGCCCGAGAGCTGCGGCTCACGGTGGGGGAAGGTTTCGGGAGGGCCGGGATGCTCCGAGCCGCCCTCCCAGCCCCGCTGTCGGCTCCCCGCCGTCCCTCGCCGGGCCTCGGCCGCCCATGGCCCGCAGCGCCGACAGCTCCCGCCGGCTCCCGGCTCGCTTGATGTGCCGCCAGGTCATTAAGCGCTGTAATTACCGGGCAGGCGCAGCGGCTCCTGCCGGGTTCACTCAGCCCCGGGCTCCGCTCTCCGCATCCCGGGATCCTCCCTCCCCTCACGGCGGCGCCTCCCGGGGCAGCGCTCGGGGACCCTGCGGGGCGCTCGGACCCTCAGTGTGAGCGGGCTCGGGGCCTTCCCGACCCGACCCGAGGAAGCCTCCGGGACCCCCTCGGGACCCCCTGAACCCCCCGGATCCCCCGGCCCGTCCCGCCGCCCCTCAGGGCAGCGCCGCCTGCGCTGCGACCCCCGCGCCGGGGGGCGG